TTTGGGTCCGCAACCCCCCCCCCCCCTCCCCCAACCCCCTCTTTATGATTTAACTAAAAAATCATTTTACTCCTCACATATTTAAGACTTATTTTAAACTATAAATCTTTAATGTCTTTCTTTTATCTTAAATCTCGTTTCTAGTCAAATACTTTTACATAAATTGAGAGAAAAAACGTACCTTGTTTGCTATAACATGTTGTGTTGTTTCTATAAGTACATTTGACAGATAAAGAGGGCATTAGTTGTCACAACAAGTTGTATCATTTGTCTTGCTGTTTGGATGGGCCAATTTCACTTTCAATATTTCAGTTTTCTAGCAATCTTCGAGAAAACAATGGGCAGTAGGTATAATCCATAATATGTATAAATATATACATGTAATTTCTTGAATCTATGAGTTCTGTGGGTGGATAAGAATCTGCAACGCACTAGAACGCCCGTTGACGATTCTTTACTCTGACAACATCTAGGGTTCCTCGAACAATGTGATATCTCACACCGGGTAAATCCTTAACCCTTCCCCCTCTTACTAAGACTGCATAATGTTCTTGTGAATTATGGCCAATATCGGGTATATAAGCAGTGATTTCAAATCCAAAGGTTAATCGTACTCTGGCATGTTCCAATTGAACATTGTCCATTTTTTATTATTCTCAAAGGATAAGATTATTCTCTTTACCAAACATATGCGGATCCAATCACGATCTTATATATAAGAAGAACAAAAGATCTTTCTTGATCAATCCAGGGCGGCTTCTCCTATGTCATGTCAAATTCGCATCGGAAAAAAGAGATTTGTCCTCTCCTATAAAGAAATAAAAAAAATTGAGGTGTGGAAAGGACACAGTCGATGTAGAATATCACTTGCAAAACTTATTTTCCATATTACCCCTCAAAAAGTTATTTTCTTCATTTTTAAGGAAATTTTATTTACTACATATCGAACACACCCTTAATCCTAAGGCGAAATCACTAATAGAAGATATATTGCATATCGTCGAGCTATTTGGCAAATTTGTCTATTCAGCCTTGACGTAACAATAAAATTTTATCCCCATGAGATTACATGTTTATGCGATGAAAATAGTTTTTCTTGTAGAATGCAAGAAAAGACTACATACAATAAGCTTAATGCTTAGTGAGCCTTTCAAGATCAGCACAATATGTCAAAACTTCTTTTATATTTAGTTTTTAATTTCTTTTGAATTTGATAGATAATAAGCCAAAGGAAAAGTATATGACAAGCATGAAGCACTCATAGATTCCCCCTTAATTTTAACCAAATTTGATTTGGACTCCTCACCTTTTCTTGATGGACCATCCCAACTAAAATGTAGAGTCCAACTATTCTTTGTGCTTTCTCGGGTGGGGCAGGGAAGAAGGTAGAAAGAAATGAAGTAGTTCATACTAATCAATCAACTATCTCTTAATTCCACACTAGTTGAGGTCAACTGAACCTGACAGACACATCTTTTTCCTTTTGGGAGCGCACTCCTAGTAGTGGGTATTTCGTAGGACTTTTGATATCCATTGCCCAATCTATTGTCGTATGTACGTGGGTGGATGTTCCAAATCCAAATAAATCGAGTGTTCGGAGGATTCATCATAGTTATGCTATTTTTTATGACAAGGGAAACCCGCAGCCGCTACCCTTTGGGTGCGCACAGGATAAAACCCCACTCCTATGCAATAACTCGCAAACCACATAGGAGAGGTAAACCGCACTAGGCAAGCCTGGTGCGACGAGCTCGACCCAGAAGGCAAACCCCTTGCTTTCGCTAGCAAGGGGTTTCGAACCTGAGACCTCCAACATGGAAGTCCCAAGTGTTGATAAGGATAAAAGGGCCAAAAATTTATAATCAATCTAAATTTTTGAAAACAAAAAGAAAATTGGAATCGGCTATATGAATCTTCAAACATAATATTATTAACACAACAGTGTGAAAGAATTTGAAACATCATTTGTATAAAAGTTTACCAAGAAACTGAAAAGTTGATCGAATTTGCAAGCAACATATCCAGAAAGGGAAAGATAACAACTCAACAACCACCAGAACGGTTGTTGGACACTCTAGTAGAGAACGTAGAAACGAAGAAAAGAATCTCAACAATAAAATGAACATTTGCTTTAAGTCTCATAGTATCACCCAATATGCATTGGTACAATTATCGCAAGTATATTCCGTTATCCAACTTTACATCTCAATCAAATGCCAAATGTAGAAAAGAAGAAAGAAAATGAAGGCCTATAGTAAAGAAATGCTATGTTCAAACGTTACAAGGAAGTCCCTTTACGTTGTAAACAATTGTTGACGATAAAGTTCTATAGTTGGTATTGAATTAGCTCTAAGTGAATGTACCTTTTGCCTGAAGTATTTCCCCAACAGGAATGCTTAATCCACACTTTGATCATGCTGTATTTTCCACCTACATTAAATATTCGATATCCAAATTCCATACATTAATCTTCCTAGGCAGCAATACCTGAAGTAAAAACAAGAGAATGTAAGTAAACGTAAGAAGGACGCCAACGAAGCAAGTTCATAGTAAATGCAGGACATGGAACATCATGGTCTGTGCTTTTGGCTAAAGTTTTGTTTCTCCTTCAAAAATGTTGACGCGTGTGCGTCGGATCCTCCAAAAGTTATTCATATTTGGAGGATCTGATATGGTGTGGTGCCATTTTGGTGGATCCGAGCAAACATAGAGGACAACAAGAAGCATGTTATTGCTTATCAACGAGAGAAATGTTCTATGCAAAATCAGCAATAATATCATTTGGTTTCCGGCTAAATTCTACCCCCGCACGTCCTCCTCATTTTGTTTACCCTTCCATATTGTAGAACAGTCCTGGCCTACCATTTAATCAGTTCTTGTGCATTTAAAATATATCAAAAAGTAATATTAAATAGAAAGACCCAAAAAAAGGAATAGGGAAATTACTTTTACCTCTAGTTGATCTATTTGCAACACTATAACCACCCACATAACTGAGGGAGTCTGCACTCCCGAGTCCATAACTAAGAGCTCCAGCGCTGTCTAACTCTGGAGAGGATGCACGCCAAGTAGAGTCCTCAAGAATCGAACTGCTTACCGTTCCATAAAAATCCCCAAAAGTGTTTGCATGAACACCTTGTGTTGGAGCATATGATGACTCAGCATCAGCATTGCTTCTTGCATTTTGTCCATACCCTGCCCCACCTGCAAATCCATTCTGTCCACCGCTGAAAGTGATGTTGTCATCGCTGAAAGAACCGTTACGTCCACCTTGGCCAGAAATTGGAGAGGTACCCCATGTTGTTCCAAGACCTCCAAAAACACCAGATAGTCCTGTATTCCCGCTTCCTGAACCAACAAACATGCTAGTGTTTGCAAAATTTGTACCATGAAAAAGACTATCATTCTCCCACTTGTTCTGACCTGTTGAATTCAACACAGGACCATTTCCAACTCTTCCAGAGCCATGCCCGACAGGAACATTGTATTTGTTTGAATTCTCATTGTGAAAGGAATTTAAGTTACGTCCATAACCAAGAACGGAACTGAACTTTCCACTTCCACCATAGCTTGAGTTCAATCTGGAGTCTATTTCTGTTCCCATATTGTAGTCAACTGGACCAAACAAAGAGTATCCATTGCGACCAACGGAGATTGGAGAATATCTACCTTCTGTTCCGACTCCATAGTTTCCCATCAGGCTTGGACTGTAACCTTGAGCATACACATTAAGGAAATTGTTTACCCTGTTCATGCCATGGTTATATCTACCTACTAATTGGCTTTGGGTTGGCCCGGGCGATAACTCTTTTGGAACAGCACGCTTGACTTCGACCCTTTTACCATTAAGTTCATGAAATGTTTTGAATAGTACATTATCAACTGCTTCCTCTGAGTCATACGTGATGAATCCAAAACCTCTAGGCCTTTGTGTGTTATGGTCATACATCACCACGACATCTGTGATTGTCCCAAATTGGTCAAAATACTTCTTGAAGTCACTCTCAGTGACTGAGGATGCCAAACCTCCGACAAAAATCTTTCTGGTGCGGGCAGGACCTGGAGAACCCTGTATGCTTCCGTTGGTTCGATTAACATGTTGATCGTCCCTCGGAACAGCTTTTTTTGCCTCTACCTGTTTTTGAAAGGGAATAATCAACAAAGTATACATTTGTTTCTTATCATAAGATTTCACATTATATCTGACTTTACCTAAAACAACACACATTGTCTTGCTGAGAATACAATTACTGAACTATTTGAGTTTCCTTACCTTGCTATGGACGTATAGTTTTCTGGTTAAGAGGTTACAAAGTCTTGACTGACCGTTCAAAGATAATTTTATGATAAATAGCCAAAATCAGCTGAGCTAATTCTGCTTAATTGAGCATGGTTTCCGATCCACATTTCCAAACACTAACTGCTACATCCTTTTATCTCATGCAACATGTTAGCTTTCTAACATTCAATATTTTATATTAGATCATTTGAAACTAGTGACCAAGCGTGCTATAACTTGGTACTTGCATTACTTCCGATTGCGTAGCTCCAAACAGATTCACTTATGTAATACTAACACTCATCAAACCGAATCAATTTCTTCGGTCAAAGTGATGCAGTATGCATTTTACACACATCCAACACATGGAACTGTGAAAATCTCATGAAAGTGCATTTCCAATGTATCTTATTGTAATCATAAGCTATTGCAGGTCTCAAGAAAACAACAATTAGCATTCTCACTGATAAGAATCTCAGAGGGAGAATTTGAAAAAATCCGGACACGATTAGCATTCAATATGTTTTGTAGACAGCATGTGGATTTACTTAAAAATTGACATAACATTTCAATAAAAACGCCAAAAGAACACAATTAACCTTCGATTTTAAGCTTCATAGTCAGAGCATGTGGATTTGCTTAAAATTTTTGACATAACAGTTCAATGAAAACGTCAAAAGAACACCATATAGGATGTAATAAAAAAATAATAAGTTCAAGAATCACGGAGGTTACTTACAGTTCTACCATCAATAATGTGTTTTTCTTTAACAACTTTTTCAGCAATGGAAGGGTCTGCAAAGACAACAAAACCAAAACCACGAGCACGGCCAGTGATTCGATCTTTCATGATCACAGCTTCAACTACATCACCAAAAGCTTGAAAATATTCTCTGAGCCTATCATCATTTGTGTCCCAAGAAATCCCTCCAACGAATACTTTGCCACTCTCCATTTCCTCTCTGCAGATGACATTACGAAATCATCTATCCGAAAATGAAACTTAACATAATTGTGAATTGATTGAGTCAACAAAAGACAATCTTCCAACTATAATTCAAATCATTCACTTGATCAAAGCAAAAGGCTTAACATAGGATCTAAACAACAACAATATACACAGTGTAATCATACAAGAATCCCATAAGTGAGGTCTGGGGAGGGTAGGATATATGCAGACCTTACCTCTACCTTGGTGGGGCAGAGTTTGTTTCCGATAGACCCTCAACTCTAAAGAAATGTAACCAATGTAGGAAAGTAAGAAAGAAAAGCGACAACAAAATAGCAAAATACAAAACAAATGTCGCCAACAGATTATTAATACACATCGGAGAAAAGAAACTACGGATACCTGAATCATACAACTAGAAGTAAAAAAACAATATCATCTCAAACAAAAGAAATTACTAAGAACTTGGAGATTACAATACTCAATTAAAGAATGTATAATCTACAATTCAACTAGAGATCTCTAATCTTCAACCAAATCCAAATTCAACAAACCCCACAAACCAGAATTCTTGAAAAAGTCATAAAGATTGAAGCTTTGACTTGAAATATTCAACTATGGAAACAGACACAGACCCACAAACCATAATTCTGAATAAACCATAAAGGTTGAAACTTTACTTTTATCATCAAACATCAAAACACTATGAAAACAGATACAGACCCACAAACCAGAATTCTGATTAAACCATGAAGATTGAAACTTTATCATCAAACATCCAAAAACTATGAAAACAGACACAGACCCACAAACCAGAATTCTAATTCAACCGATTGAAACTTTACCATCAAACATCCAATAACTATGAAAACAGACACAGACCCACAAACCAGAATTCTGATAAATCCATAAAGATTGAATCTTTAATATGAAACATCCAAAAAAATATCAATATGTATATATGGAAGAACTTAAAGAGGTCAAATTTACCAAAAAGATGAAGGCTCAGATTGAAGAAAAAAATGATTGAAATTCAAGATCTGTTAGAGAGGCATAAAGCAAAAGGCAGAGGGCTAAAATGCCCTCTTTTTCTTTTTCCTCTCTATTATTTTTTGCTTCTTCTTAAGATTTTTCAGTTTTGGTCTCAAATTGTTGGAGTTTTTATCAATGAAAAAGATGAAGGTAAGAGAAAAAAAGAGTGTGGTATAAAAAAAACTGATTGACAATCTGAAATGGCTAAAATTTATACATATTATATACTATTATAGATATATATACAATTTGCATATTTAAGTTATAACCAACTACTATACTTATATATTTGTATTTATTTAAAGTATATTATATTATATTATATTATACTTGGTTATCTCTTGGTGAGAAATGTTGAAGCTGACAAGAGGGTGGAAGATGGAAACTTTTGATTTCCCTTTATTTTATAAGTACTATATACTACTATTTGAAAAATAAATAGTTTATGGTCTAAATTATTTATTTTAGCGAGTTTCACATTTTAATTATTCATTTTTTTTTCAATCTATTTTATGTATTGAAATATATTTCAACGGTAAAGTTACCTATTTTAAAATAATAATAATAATATATATCAACTGTTATTTATTTTCATTTTCTATCTCAACTATTATAATTATTTTGATAGAAAAAATAAATAACTAATAGTTAAAATGTGTTTGATAATTTAAATACAAAAAGAAAATAACTTATTATTATGTGGGAAACTTTGGGAAAAAGAAACAATTTAAATAACATTTCTATTATTATCTCTAAAAAACTTCAAAATAACTTAACGTCTTGAATTCGATTAATGAATTTAAATAACATTATGAATAAAACATTTTATTCTCAAAATAAAACTTTTTGATTAATTTAGAATAGTTGGATTTCAAATATTATTTTTATTATGTGACCTTTTGTTATTAACCACGTGGAAGTATTGCCTTCATTTTATTTTATTTTTTTACCCACTGATTCTCAATTTTTTCAATATGTCTCTCTTTTTATTTTATTCCCTTTTCCTTTTGTGCTATTAGTTTTTAAAAAAAACGAATAATCAAACATGCATATAAAAGTGATGCAAAATAGTTTTTTGGGATCTAAAATGAATAATAAAAGTTTTGGTTTGTTATGTTTCACACATTTTTTGTACTTTAATTTTGAAATAAAAGTAGATTCAAATTAAGAAAAATAATCTAAATACACAACTTATATTATTATATTATCTAAAATTCTCTACCATTTGAAAAAATTACAAAAATTCTACTTTACGTAATGTTTCAGTCAGATACATCACTTTACGCGATGTATTGAGACGTACACGATGTATCGGGACATTACTTTACGCAATGTACTAGTCAAATACATCATTTTATACAATGTATCGGGATATACACGATGTATCGAAACGCTGAGTGATGTATTCAAAACTGAGATGTTATGTATTAGGACATTGAGAGATGTATCCGAAATCGAGATGTGATATATCGGGACATTTTGGGATGTATCCGAATTCCACCAAATTTAAGTGATTTTTGTAATTTGGAAAATAGTAGGGATAGAATGTAATTAGCTCTTAACTCGATGAAATTTGTGTAAAATCTACTAAATTAACCAATGTATTTAATAAACTAATGTTGCTATTCTAATTCTAGTTATATTCTAATTTCCAAAAAATGTTATCGGATTTATCACATTGTCGATTTATTGATTTCAATATACTGTGTTATCGTTTCGAAAACGAATCGCCTAATTTTTATATAAGATAAACAATAATTCATTAAATTATTTTACACGTGCACCCCAATCAATAACACTACTTCGCTCTAAAAAAATTGCCCCAAAACATTTGTTTCCTTTCGCTTCTCACTCCAAGTCTCCAAAAGTCACTGGTGGAATACATAAAAGTCACTATTTTTTTTTATTAATAATCGATGGATAAATCAATTAATTAATTAACTAATTGCAAAATTAATAACGATGGATAATTGTTAAGTCGAACCAAATCAACCAATAATTTATCAGTTCGATAGCAATTTAATACGTATAAAAGTTAATAACTAATAAATCAAATCATTAAATATAAAAATCAAACTTAACCATCCAATAAAGTTGATTTGACCAACAACAAAAAAAGTTGAATTCAAACACATTCAAATTCCATGCTTCTTCTTTTTCACCCCATATATCTCATATTTGTCTAGAAGTAATTAAAAGGTTTAAAACTATTTTTTTTAAAAGAAAGATAAATTTAGGTAATTAATAGCAATAACTAAAATGAGAATCAAATTAATTTAATTAATCATTCAAAAGTATTTGTGGATTAGCTTTCTTCATGTGGAGGAAAGGGATGAACCCCAACTCAAACATTGGACGGTGGCACCCTGTCACATCCTCTAATACTAACAATAATAATAATTTAATTGAATAAATTTTTGTTTTTGGCCCACAAAAAGAACAGAACAATTAATTGATTAAGACTTGATTAATTTAAACAAAATACCAAAAGGATATAAATTTAATACAATCACATGGATGAGGCAAACAACAAGAAAGGGATTGATGAGTAAAGATACTTCAACAACTATGTCTCAATCCTTGAATAAATTGAAGTCGACTATGTGAATTTGTTTATATTGTTAGTCAGTCTCAAATCGGATAAAGGAGAAAAGTTGATAGGTAAATAATCAGCGTAAAGCTATTCACATCACATTAACGAGAAAAACTATTCTGCAGGGGCAAATTTACTGTGTTAAATTCGGAAAACTATCTTTCAAAGGTGGATCTATTGTATTAGGCATGTGTTTGGACTTTGGATGAACAATAACTTTTGCTTAGATCCTATGATTGTTTTCGGATTTTTTTTCTTTAATATTTGTAATTATAAATTCAATAACTACAACACATTATAGGTTTGGTGACAAATCTATAACCTGTATATATCATAAAATATTGGAATATATATTTTAAAAAAATTAAAATGACAACTAATTAACAGTCCCTCTCAAACTTCCAATAACTTTTGCTTAGATTCTATGCTTCATCTTTAATTAAAAGTTTTAGTTTGAGGTTAAGTGAAGGGTCTTTTTACGTAATTTTCCCTAAAAATGGAAAAAATATTAGCAGGTAATAGGGGTGCGCATCGGTCAGTTCGGTTCGGTTTTAGGTGTTATTGGTTCGGTTTATCGGTTTTCGGTTTGTAAATATGTCAAACCGATAACCAAACCAATAACATATTTCTTATCGGTTTTTGGTTAATCGGTTTATGGTACTTAACGGTTCGGTTTTCGGTTTAACCAATAAGAAAATACTCATACATATTATATACACGATAAGAAAATTTTCAAATAAACCATATGATTTTTTCAGCATTTGGCATGAAAGTAATAATCATAAAAGTAACAATCATTTTTCTTGCAAGTTTAGACACTAGACACATTCAAAGGAAAAAGTGTGAAAGTAACAATCGTTTAACCATTAACAAAAAGTGTGAAAGTAACAATCGTTTAATCATTAACAATAAGACTAGTAAATTTAGTATAGTCTTATTGGGTTATCGGTTTAACCATTAACAAAAATTATAAAACCGGAAACCGAACCAATAACCCAATAAAAAATTTTGCAAAACCGTTTAAAAACCGTTAGCCCAATAACCCAATATCAATAAACCAATAGTGTTTTTTTCGGTTCGGTTTATTGGTTAAATCGGTTTTTGCACACCCCTAGCAGGTAATGGTTCCCCTATAATGGATCTTAGGCGCAAATCTGAATTAGTTGTTACCTTAACTTTATAGTTCATTTTACTTAATCATAATTAATTAACATGTGTTTTACTTCATTAAATCACGTAATAATGAAAATTGCATTAGTTTGGTGTATACACCCAATGCGGGTAAGTTTTTTCCGTTTTCCTCTTGAGACCTCAAGTCAAAATATTTAGACATAGCACTAGTGTTCATACCTTCAACCTATATTGCTCAAGTTCTTCAAAAATATCGATATGTCTATTACATCCTTAAAAAGTAGCACATTTTTTTAGGATTCGACACGGATGCAACTAACATATTTGGAAAGTTCGAGCAACGTTGCCTTCAACTATGCTCGAGATAAATGACAAACAAAGAGAACATATAAACAAAAACAAGAACAATGAGATATATAATCCTTCAAAAGTAGCACATTTTTCAAGGATCCGACATAGGTACAACAATATATTTGCAAAGTTCGAGCAAAGTAGCCTTCAACTATGCTCAGGTCAAATGACAAACAAAGAGAGCATATAAGCAAAAAAAAAAGAACAATAAGATGGAAACTTTAAAGGATGCCAAAACAGATTTATCATTACAAAGTTGGCACAGCAGAATACAAGTTCAACAGAAGTTCCAAATTCTGGTTAAGTAAGCTGGTAAGTTTACTTATGTTGCTCGGACTCTTCAAGAATGTCAACAGTGGTGTGTCGGATCCTCCAAAAGTAGTGCAGTTATGAAAGACTCGACACATGTGTGACAACATTTTTGGAGAGTTGGAGCAATATAGCTTTCAACTACGATCGGGACAAATGAAAATCAAAGAGAACCATGTAAAAACTAAAAGAAAAACATAAGATAGAAACTTTATGCCCAAAACAGATTTATCATTACAAGTTGGCATAACAAACTAAACTTCTGGTTAAGTAAGCTGGTAAGTTTGGTTCATTACAACAAAATTCTCTGCTAATTTCATGTTTGATTAACAGATGCCAGCTGAGTTTATGGTGTCTACTATAGAGCTTAACTACCTCTGCTAATTCCTACACTGGGATTTACAAGCTCGAGATTTCAGAGACTTACCTCTCTATAACAAGAAAAAAGTTTCAAAGAAACGGTCTCGGCTCTTCTGTTCTTCCAAATGCTTATATCAAGATCCCAAAGGCAACGAATGAGGTTATTGCCAAGCAGAAGAAGTTGCTAAAGCTCTGTTGTTCCATCCAATATAAAGCGCCCCCTGGCTTTCAGCAAGCTTATAATTTGAGCTATACTCCTTCAGCATGACCTTGATGGTCTCAGCAACCGATGGACTCAGTGGGCATGGTGTAAATCCAGCCATCAAAAGTCTTGACCTCCACTTGCCAAAAACTTCATGCCTTTCCACTCTATCAGCCCCTTCACATGCTATGAGATTGACAACATCCCGTGCAATACAATGCTCCTCTGATCTGATCCGCTGCATGTCATTCCTCGGGCGAGTTACATCGACTGATTCGAACATTGCTTTGTGGTAATCTAGAGTTTCACGGAACCTTGGAAGGAAAGGGGCAGTATTGGTGTTCATTTCTTGTTCAACTAGGGCCACGATTTTGGGAGACAAGCTCTTGACTAGTCTTAATAGGCGGTCTCGATGGTTCATAGTGCTTACGCTCTCGTCTGGCATGTGGTGCAACATGTAAGGGAAGTTAACTGCCAGGCTTTCTCCATGTCTAACTCGTAGGTTCTCTAGTTTGACCATACAGCCTGACAATGCAGCATTATGGAATTCGAAAGGCACTCCGCAGGACTTGGCAATGCTCGCTAACCTTTCGCCGACTAGCTGAAGTCCACCACCGCGTGCATGAGCTGATTGGGAATCATCAACGCCTGTGATGCGGAGAAATGGCGGACCACCAGGCCGACGAGCCAGATAGTGGATGAGGAACATCCATTGACTTCCCTGTGCAATTTGAAAATCAATGATATGGATTCTATTCTCGTTCTTCATGGCTTCGCTTATGACAACATTGGCGGACATATAAGCGAACTTGAAGTAAGGGGTGATGTTATAGAGGACTTGCATGTAGGACAACAATTCTGAGCTAGTTGGTTCGTTGCACTTCAGTTTTTTGTATATGTTACTCCCGGAGGACAATAATCGTGCTCTTAGACCTTCCAACATGTATGCACTCAGTCGTTGCATAGGTTCCCCAGAAACCGATACCCTTTTCTCCAAAGCATCCATCAGAACTTCTGCAGTCGAGGTATCAGCTTCATCTACTGCTTCAGCACAGGCAACGAGCAACTCTTTCAAGTCCAATCTTGAGGCTACGTCCAATACTTGATTCCGCCTTGTCAAGGAAAAATGTTTTGAGACTACACCATTTAACGAGCAACTGCAGCTGTCATCAATATCGGATTCAGGCCTTAGCAACTTATTATTCAGTTCCCACAGCTCATGCTTCTTTCCGTTGCTGTCATCAACTCCTGAACACAAACTTACAGGTGAACCAGAAGTGTTCTCAGAGGAACGACGTTTCTCAAACATGTTTGACTGAGAACATTGAGGAGAGAAAGGACTCCTGTTGGAAGAGACGCTTATGGAAGGATCTGCATCGTAGATGGCACAGTCAGTAGCCGGAAATGAGTCCATAGTGAAGAACTTTTCATTCTGTGTCTTTAAAGAAACCTCTGTTCCGGAGTTGCTACCATCATTATAACTGCTGTTATCAGAAGCATGGCAAGGGGTGTAGTATTGCTGAACTTGCTGCATTGGCTGATTGCACAATTTATGTACACTACATGGCCTTTGAGGTCCCTGAGATGCTTGCATCTGACAATAAGTAACTCACTCACTGTGAGCTGTGCCAAAGGAAGACACTGATCAGCAAATGTCTACACTAAAACTAGTCACGACATCTCAAAAACCAAAGGTTCTTTCAGAAGAGAATGACTGCTGAATCTGAAGCACTAGAGCTAGAATGGATATCTCCAGTACACTGCCGATGCAGTTGTCAAAGACAGCAAAATCTGCCAAGAAGTAAAACATGATCAGTATTTTTAGTGAGATCGAACTTTTAAAACGAAAACTAAAGATCACAAGAGATTGTCACAATATAACAAAGAAGCCTTCCTTTTACAGCCAAAATGCAAATTTGATCAGTGTCACAGAAGTTGGGACGATATTCATGCTCATAAACAAAACACAGAATTAAGAAATGTTATGACAAGATTCCACATCATTTTGATGGAAAATTACGAAAGGATAGAATCAAAAGAAGAATATACCCAATGAAAATGGTAATATACAAAGTATGATCATTCATCAAGGCCTAAAGCATTCGAGAAATGGGAAATGCATATCAGATCAGTAAATCTAATATTTGAAAACGTTGCTATCTCTCCTTGACCAAGACACATATAAAGGAAAGAATTAGGGAAAACGTCTAGAGAGACTAATCAATGAAGTTGCTGTTGCAGTTCTTAATGAGGAACGACGAGTTAGTTGAGGATTTAATGTAACTACCTGCACTTAGTAAATGAACAAAGAAAGTCACCAAACGCACCAGAATTGTTGGTCGATAACTCCCAAAATGACATGGTAAAAAACACAAAGGCAGTAGTGGATTTACCAAGGGTTTAGAAACTTATCGAAAAATAATAAAAAGAAAGCCCCATTGTTGATTTTTTGAATAAAATGATACCCTTAACATCAAATATCCTTTTATATACTACAAACAGTGGATTACCTTTAAACAAAGAGATAAATCTTCAAATTCAAGCGCAATCACGAAGAATTAGCAAGATAATTGACAAATTATCAAACCTCGACTTAGGCTAGCACGGCTTGCTATGCTCTTCAACCTCCATCTCCCTAACTCAACCTCTTAATTTGTGGGGAAAAAAAGTCTATCTAAGGCTAGCTTTGAAACTGTAGCTTGTTGTTTTTTTCGTTATACAATCAATAACAAATTAAATGAAACACGACGAAAAAGAAGTGAGCAGTTTGACTAGGAATAAATCTTCGTGTTTCTTTATCTTCAACCCTTCCACCCCCTACCCCACCCCACACATCTTCCCCTCGCTTTCCACAACTAACAAGGTCTACATTGATTTCCCCTTTCTTTACTATTAAGGTTAAGATTTTTCTGTTTCTAACCCCAACCAGCACCTCAAACCAATATCTCTACAAAGATAACTCAGATCATTAACTCATAAACATCCCACAGCTCTCAACAGGCACCCTTAACCAAAGGCTCGGATCGAGACCTGAGTATGAAGAAAATCCTAGTAGGGAGCGCTAGCGCTTCCCTTAATAATGGGCCTTACGCGGATTAATTTGGGACCCCAATGCAGTACCAAACACTGGATGAAAACAAAAAAACTCCAGTTCTACTGATTACTTAGCATGTAACATTGAACCTACGTTAGCAAATGACAGCAGAAAAATAAGAAAGATGCAACCTTCTTACCTTAGAAATGGAAAACTGACAAATAGAAATGAAAAAGCAATAAGGCCGCAGTACAAATGACCAAAGCTCTAGTTTTATTTTTGGAAAACGGGGCAAATACACCCCTCAACTTTGCGATTTAGAGCGGAGATATCCCTCGTTAAAAAGTAGTACATATTTTCCCCTTCTCCCTTTATTTTTTTTGGAAAACAAAGACCTAAGATTCTCTACTTCATTTTTTTCCTTACACCAAGAATAAACTTAACTCCAAGGAAAAAACAGAGACAGACTCCATATAAAAAAAGTCATTTCTTCTTTTCTAAGGTATGCGTTGAAACAGTAGTTTCCAGGTTTTTTCATTATACAGTCAATAACAAATTAAATGAAACACGACGAAAAACAAGTGAACAGTTTGACTAGTAATGAATCATCGTGTTTGCTTATTTCCTAAAAGATTGGTTATCGCCTTATTTCGTTGTTGTTACTATCCTTTCTACTGTATGTTGTGTATAGTTTTTCATTTCACAATGCTTCGTTATTGTTATGTTCTTCTAAGCCAAGGGTCTATCGGAAAGAACCTCTCTCTCTATATATAAGGTAGGAGTAACGTGTGCTTTCGCTCTACCCTCTCCAAACCCCACTTGGGTATGTTGTTGACTAAAACACTATACTTTAATTCTTTCCTTATTCATAGAATTAACTGAACTCAAAGGAAAAAAACAGAAACATTGACTCCATATCAAAAAAGGCAATAACTTTACAAGAACCACTAAAGACTAACAACACCAGAAACTCAAACCAAACATTAAACAAACCAAAGGTCCATCGAAAATGAAACACTACTGACCAATTTTCCTACCCACCCCGACTAATTCCACGGCATATCTACATGGGCGGCTCAATGCCTTTAAAAATAAGGCATCTGTGAAAATTTGAAAGGCCCAATTTTTTTTTAGTAATTATAAGCCTTTTTAACAAAAATATATACTATATTTTTTAATTTATTTGTCTTGTTTTATGTTTGTTTTGAAACATTAATTAATATTTCTTTCTTTTTTGTCAATTTTTAAATTTAACTTCCACGTGATAGGTTTAAGACCACAATATTAAAAAATATTTTGGTATATATATATATAGTTTAACATCATAGAAAAAATAAAGATTTTTTACTAAAACGAAAGAAATTACGAACCTAAAACCTCACAGTTCTTAACCCCTTCATTGACCACTACGTCACACCCTTCGGTGCAAACCAGAGTTAAATAACTCATTAATATTTTTTTAAAAAAACAATAGAAAAAGGGTAACAAGAAATTAGTTCAGTGAGTATGACAAACCTTCAAAACATTGCTCAAAAAGATGTATTTTTGAAGAATTCAGACGAAAGTTGGAACCTTTTTTTTGCCTTCGGCTAAACACACATTAAAACAAACCAAAAGTCAGCAGTTGATAGAAATTTTTTTACACTAATTCAAAAATCAAACACTTCTTAATAAGTCTAATCTTCCAAGAAAAACCAGAGGATATATCACTCAATAAAGAATAAAAACAGAAAATTGCAACAAGAACCTACAACAACAAAGTATTAGAGTATAATGCAGACCTTAGAAATAGAGAGAGGGCAACAAGAACATCATAGAATTAATTCAAAAGATCAATCAAAAAGATGTTTTTTTTTAAAGAATTCAAATGAAACACCTATTAAAACAAACCAAAAATCAGCAGTTTATAGAAACAATTTAGACTAATTTCAAAAATCAAACACTTCCCAGTAAAACCAATTTTCCAAGAAAACTAGATTACATAACACAAGAACAGAAACAGATAACAAAGTCAAAAAGATGTTTTTTTAAAGAATTCAAATGAAAGTTGGAACTTTTTTTTTTGTTTTCCGCTAAACACACCTTAAAACAAACCATTCAAAACTCAAGCACTTCTAGTAATACAATTTTTCAAGAAAATTAGATTATAAAAGAACAAAAACAGAAAAGGGTAACAAGAACATCATAGAATTAATCAAAAAAAATGTATTTTAAAAGAAATTAAGATGAAAATGGAACCTTTTTGTCTTCTGTTAAAACAGAGATAGAAGAGGAATTTGCCTTTGTGTGTTTTGCTGATTGAGAATACCAAGAATTTGGTATTTGCTTTATATAGTCAAAATAAAAGGACTCGGAAATAGAGGGAAATATTGCCATCGTAATTGTGATATAATGCTCTAGTGAAAATAAAAGGACTCGGAAATAGAGGGAAATATTGTCATCGTAATTGTGATGTAATGCTTAGAATAACATAAAACAAATTACTGTCCGACTATTTATGATGAATTGATCTTTTAAAGTAAATATGTAACTGAAGTTATGTCCCGTGAGATATTATGATAAGAAAATATAAAATGATTTTTGTCCCGTGGAAAACATTACTCACTCTATTTCAATTTACTTTTTACCTTTTAAGTATGTCCTTAAAAAAAATGTAATCTTTCTGTAATTAAAAAAATTAACTTTAAAGAAAAAATATGGATAATATTACTAATTTATCCTTTAATTTATTAAACTTAATATTTTGAGAAATGTTTTAGATGATAAATATTATTTAATAGTAAGGGTAAAATAAACACAAAAGATAAATTATCTTTTGATTTTTTAAACTGAACAAGTATTGTTGGACAACTATTTTTAGTATAGTAGATAATTATTATTGGACGGAGGGAGTATTTGTTTAGATCGGAAAAGAAGATTTATATCTCCAAATTTAACTTAGAAGTAAATATCTTTATTTGTTTGGAGAGTATGAAGTCGTATCAAATCAAAATACATTTAATCCTGTAAAAAAAATTGTATATCAAATTATAACGATGCCACATACAGTAAGGAGATATTACTTTTTATGAGGAACATAAATTAAAGATTAATACAAAATGGGAATAAAAGTGTAAAGGACACTTTTTATCTTTTCCTCTATTTTCTTGATGTTCCATGTACTGATATTTTTCGTATAATTGAAAAATCTTCGAAAATCTATATAATTTAAAATTGAATTATTTTTTTCATACAAATGTTAAGGATATCACTTGAAGGCTTTATGTGTGTGAATTCGATTAACTGATTTCTTACAAATTTTCAAAGTAGATGAGATTAAATTTATTTACAGTACAATTAAATTCATGACCTATACATCACGCTATTTATGGATTTATAAAAAATACCATTTGCTTACTAAATTTTTAAAAAATTACTTAAATATATTAACTAAATCTTTAAGAAAACTCTAATTTCACCCATATATTAGTTTTTAAACACATATTTTATGTGTGCATATCTCGTATAAATTATTTTTAAAAAATTATACATATTTTAAAACTATTTGTTTTTTAGCTATAAAATAGTAATTTAAGTATTTGAGAATTACTTAGTTCTTCAAAGCTAGAATACCTAAAGAACATTCATCCAACTACTTCAAATGATCATGTACTTGTTTTGAAATGATTGAAAAATATTTAAACTAACAATTAATTTAGTTAGACACAGTGAAGTTTTTTTTAAGAGTTGCTAAAAAATTTGTGACGTATGCTTAAATTATTCGTATTTAATAAAAACTAAATTAATTGTATCTTCTTAACTATGTAAATTCTTCTTTAATACTAAACTAGTCAAGGTGCGTGTACTTTTATCGTTCTGTCTTTTCATCTCCTTTCTTGTTTTTGCCATGTACTAATGTTTTTCATGTAAACGGAAAATCTTTAAGAATTTGTCCCATGTAATTTTAAATTCCATGAATTTGATTTTTTTGTTTTTCTTCATACAAATGTATGGTATTTCACTTGAATGCTTCATGTGTGTAGATTGATATTTCACTTGAATGCTTCATGTGTGTGGGTTTGATTAACTAATTAACTCTTGCAAATTTCTAAGTTGTCAAGATCAGATTTATTTGCAATAAAATTTGAACTCGTGCAAATCTCGTGGTGTATGCTTGAGTCACACATCACATCATTTATGAGTTTATAAAAAAAAATTATTATCTGTTCACTGAATTTTAAATAAATTACTTAAACATACTAAATAATCTTTAACACAAATGCATCATCCGAGCTCAAATTGCTGATTTCTATCGTATACGCAAAACATTTTAATCCCCCCCCCCCCCACCCACACACAA